GAGAGTGCCTGACATCAGAGCCTACCCAAAGGACAACCCTCATTTCCCAACGAGTGAAAGAACAACTTCATTAGCAGGCACTTGCTACAAATACATGTACTGCTTGCAAGGAAATAGTTGAGATTGCCAAAGCTGGGAACAACACTTGTAACCCTCAGATCCTTTGTGACTGATACTGAGTTACCCAAAGGGTGACAGAGAATAGCTTGACTGTAGACAAAGCTGCTTAAACCAAGACTGTGTCCCCCATTCATCTGTCGATGTCCAAGCCTTCATTCATCATAGAAAGCAGAGGAGATTTGTGCTCTGTAGCAACCAACACAAACAGCCAACAGACAGAAAGGTGGCTTTTCAGGATTTAGTATAGAGCAAGAGAGTACAGAAAGGAGTGTGTAAAAGACGCTGTGTCATGGTTCCCATTATCATCTTGCCTAGCATTTGCTTTATGCTGCTGGAACCTGAACTGCGTTACATCCCGGGCCAGTTCCTGCTCATCTGCTGTCCCAGCAGGACCCCAGGGCTGTGTCCCTTCTTGTGGAAAAAGCAGTGCAGAGCACTCGCCCACAGCACAGCGCTGTCACCTCCCTACGACAGGGCCGGCACCATCACAGCCTGAATTTATCTTCATTCACACTCACGGTGAAGGTCAGTGACTCCAACTGTGCAGCATCAGAGCCCAAAGGTGACATGTTTTGAGGAAATCCTGGCTTCACTGAGGGAACAGAAAAATAATCCCAGGCCTTACTGGCTCAAGAGCCACGGCCAATGTTCAACTATGGAGTTACGTGTACAGAATGATGAACAGGTTTAACTACAAGAAGGAAATAAATGCATGCAGAAAACAGCAGAGGGAAGCTGAAGTTTCAGATGTAATAGCCACTACAGGCCCCGGTAGTTTCTGCAGTTAATTTGTCTCTCTCTTTCACCCAGTTTCCTCAAGTGCCACTTCTCAGTTGCAGCCCAAATATTCTTCACCTGCCAGAGTCTGAAGAGGATTTCATGGTTAAAATCTCACTTCTGATTTATTATCTGCTTCTAGCAAGTGCTCTATAACCCTAAACTGTGCACTCATTTCCTAGCTCTCTTGCAGCGCTTTACATTACACACACAGCACTATACTCATGATCAATTGCACTCTGCCATATGTGAGCACCAGATGCAATTTCTTTTTCTACTTTTAAAGTATTGTGAGGATACATGAATTGCACCGGTAAGAACAATCAAGAATTTTCTCTCTTTCAAACAAGATTGCTAGTGGGAAGACAGATCCTATTTTAAATATAAAATGTTGGCATAGCATGACATAGCAGTTCACTTGTTGCCTAACAAGACACACTACAGAATGAACAACTCAACGACTAGAGATGGTTAACGACAGCTTAATCACCTTGCTTGTACGACTGCATTTCCAGAGCAGACATGAAAAATGGCAACAACAAAAGAGAGGTTTAAAATAACAAGCTATCACAACAAAGGAGTGGCATGCTGGGCTGTGCAGGCAAATGACTCAGCTGAAGCTCGGGGGACCGTACTGTCACACAGATTGTGATGGGGAACAAGAGCAGCAGCTGACAGCGCTGCTGTAGCTCAGTCTGGTGAAATCCAGGGAGCAGCTTTTAATTCAGAGTATCAGTGCCTCACAGAGATCCTATTGCAACTGCATTTCTCCAAGACTGCAAGAAGCTCATTACCAACGGAGTTTTTTTTTAGTTTGGAGGCAAGTGAACAAATACAAAGAACTCACTGAGGTCAAAAAGCAAGAATTCAAACGTTAGAGAAAGCTAGGTATAAGCAGCGCTGCCAACTCTGCCATTTCCAAGACAGACACTTTACCTATTTGTTTTCCAATAACTTCTCTCAAGAGATTTAGACTGCTGGAGGAACAGCTAGAGGTTCCCCAGGATAAGAGTGGGGTAGCATCCCATACACTGAGCAAGAAACACACTCTGGGTAACTTCATACGTAGCTCTGACTGTGACGTGGTTGCCTGATGTAACCCGTCAGCTCGCTGGGAGCGAAAGAAGGGCGCAGGCCATGGCACATGCTATGGCACAGAACCGCTGCTCCAGGCCTTGGCTGGCAGGGTGCGAGCAAACACGACTGTCACACATGTAAGCGTGCTGCTAAATCTCCGATGCAGAGAAACACATTGAAAACTGACATAGTTTATTTTTAAATTTATTTTTAAATATATCCACCAACAATCAAAGACTGCTAGATTATCTTGTTAATTATAATTTGCTTTTAAAAATGTATCTGTACCTTCATTAATGTTGGTATTTACTTGACAGCTAGTTACCAGCAACATTTAGTCAGCTTATCCAAAAAATATTTTTTTGTTACAATAGCTAATAGCTAATTGCGCTGCAACACGATTAGCCGAGCTGTGCAAAAGGCTTTAATCAAACTGATGAGTTCTCAGATTAGTCCTGGCTCAAGTTCAAATTGCAGCTCTGAGCAACCGGTATTGCACTTGAATTTTGCTCATGTTTATAAACACTCTATACAAGCGTAGGGCTGTCTGGATATCTGCAAACTTCATCAGGCTACTGCTCACAACGCATTTCAAGTTTGAGCCTGACTATTTGGGATAGTGCATATTTCACAGGGAAAGATGCAGGGCACTTTCCACCCCAGACTACATCAATCTCACAGCATCAGGAACATCAGACCTTTACAACCAAAACCATTTGTCGTAAGTTTCTGAGGGGAGAAGACATGGGTGATAAGCCAGGAATGTGCCCCGAGAGCTTCACATAGTGATTTCTAATAAGAGAGTAACTTCAACAGCTTGTTCAAATGAATGACCAAACTGAAGGCCAGACCAAACTGAAGGCCACTCCAAACTATGGGGGAAACCAAGGGACCGTCCTCATGTTTAAAAGCTCCTCTAAGCTCACACAGAGCAATCAGACTTCTATCCTATTCCCTTAATTGCTGCCAGGCTGCAAGTCTAAGCCAGCCAAGACTGCACTTTCCTGGCCTCCATAATTCAACCCATGTCCAGCAGGGGAGATTGAGATTTGAAATGTTGGTTTTATCTTAGCTGGGGACTGAGATATTCTAAGTCTTGAGCTGACACAAGATAAAAAAGAATCTCTGCCAAGCTCTGATAGTAAAAATTATGCTGCAGGGAAATAAAAAGTCCTAGGATTATGCCCATAAGATCTCAAAAGCAAACATGCAATGAAATATCACAGCATGGCAGTAAGGACAAGAAGTCTCTCAAGCCTCCATCTTGCAAATACTTAAGGATGTTTTAAAGTAATACATATCACTAGCTTACTGAAGCCAAGGAGGTGTACGAGATGTGCAGGATGGGTTCCTAAGCTCTTTGGGGGCCAGGGATGTTGATTTCAGAGTTTAATACTATTCTGTTGTAAATGTTCTGCCTGGCACAGATTCAGACTGGTAGACTTGGGCACTGAGAGCAGTACTGTTCTTTAAAACAATTCATGCTTTAGAACCAAGGCAAGAGATACAAGTCAGGTTGCATAAGTTGCATTTAAACAGAGCAGATTTCAGAGAGCTTTCTCACTAGGTTAAGCACAGCTATCTCCAGCCCTCCTCATTTACTATAAGGCAGACACAGCTGGCTTCCTCCATGCATTAGTGATGATGTTGCATCAAGGAGGCCTCTGCATAGACAAAGAGCAAAGGTTTGCACTAAGGTTCTTATTTATTGGCAAAAGAATCAGTATAATCATAAGCTGAAAATTTGGGACTTGTTGCCATCGCTGAAAAGTAGATTTTGGTTTAACCTTTGAAGGCAAGTCCTGATAAAAAAAGTGTAAGAGACTTAGCTATAAAGCTTTCAGACACGCTCTGGCTTACCTGTGTCTCAAAGCAAACCATGCAGGATGGTAAGTCCTAATTTATCAAGGCAGACAAACTCCCTCAAGCTTCACTTCAGGTAAGGTCTCAGTTGCACTTTGCTGTTTTGGTGCCCCACCCACAGTTTCTGCTGCAAAGCATCAGTGCCTGCAGCTGTGCTACCATGCAGGTGCAGAGATGCTTGATCTCTTGGGTGAGCTGTCTCCTTGCCTATGTGCATAATGAGATCCATAGGCTCAGGGGTCTCTGAAAAAGCTTAATTTGGTAGATTTGCTCTGAACACACCCATCAGGCAAGAAAGCCACTGAGCCCAATGCAAACCACAGGCACAATAAACGTTTCCCATTGCGGACGAGGGTGGTAGTACAGCACTGACCTCCTGCACAACAGATTACTGGTTCGCAAGTCTGCCAGCAAAGAGACGCAGATCCACAAGGCCTGTTAGCCTGGGCGTTCAAACCCACACCTTCCACTTTGAAGGAAAATGTTCCCAGACTCAAATTATAAGCAAGGCTGGGATAAGACTACTCTCCCTCCTTTCTGCTGAAGCCACACTGTTATGAGACCCTCATGGGATCAGAGAGGAAAAAGTGGGACCAGGAAGGAACTTCATTTTGCAGCGAAGTGATGGAGGAAAAAAGGATGAGGAGTCCTGGACACTGGTCTCTGTGGCTGGAGTTACTTACTGATCTTATCCAGAAAGTCTACACTGCAAAATGTGTACACAGGTCATCTTCGCAACAGGGAACAGACCGCTCTCCCACCTGCTTCATACCAAAACTTTTACTTCACTTCTAGCAATTTTAAAAGCCACGTTTCCTCATGGCAACATCTAAAGTAAACATCTCCTCCTGCTCTATCTCCTTCCTCCCTCCTATCACCAAATTACCACCTCCTTAGTCAGCAAAGCTTTAAGTAATAACCTCCAAAATCCATTTTAACATGTAAAATCCATTTATTTCCTGAAGAGAGCTAAAGCTAAATTAACTGTTCTCTTGCCTAATATAAACATTCTTTATGGTTTGCACACACAGGAGACTGAGAAGTACCGACTTCCTCTTTCATTGATCTGTATCTATTTTAAAATGCCAGCATCCTTCAGCAGAGATTAAAAACAAAAACAACCCCCAAGTTTGTTGTTCAGAAAATTTTCTTATGTGTTTTACCTTGAGGGCCTTCTGTGCAGCTTCACTTGATCCAATAGCAATCAAGTTTGGTCCAGCCATGCTGCAAAAGCTCTTCAGATGCAAGGAATCATGAACAGGGACTGTGGAGACAGCATAATCCTGTATGGGAGCAACGAATGGTTGCTATAAATATTTTTAAGTTGTCCTACTTCCATAATTATATTGAGACATTCCATAATTAATTTTACTCTCTGCAAATTAACAATAGCAACATATCCCAGGGCACAGTGTCAACTGCTTAAGTATGATACATCCCTCTGAACCAGCTTGTCTTGTCTCATGTTCTGAATTTTACTCCAGTGCACATTTCAAACATTACTATTGTTGCAACTGTAAAGAAATACATGAAAATGCACAATTAAACAGTATGTACATAAAACCTCTCCAGGGACCAGCAATAAGAACACATTGCTGATACATGAGAACATTAAGAACCTGAGTGTTGATACGCTCTCAAATAACAACAGCCTCCCACTATCCAAGTTACTTTTATGCAGCACTCTCACATTTCAGATCCGACTTGAGCATCTGTCACTTTACTCTCAAACCTTTTCAGTAACTTGTACTTTTTTTTTTTTTTTTAGTCCTAAATAAAGCACTTGAGTATGACAAATGACTTGGCTAGTAGAATTTTTAAATTGGTTCAGTGGATAATACCTTATATTTCCTGTGGCATGAATGAATCTACAAACCTTAAATGTGTCAGCCAGTATTTCTGCACCACGTTGATTTGTCCGCCTGGAAAGACCCACAAAAAATTCTCTGCCTGGAATGAAAAAATGAAGGGCAAAACAATTACAGCTTTTGGGTTTTTTTAAGCCATACCAAAAAAATCACATCAGCTCCTGCATCAAAACATACACATTTCAAAAACAGGCCAGCTTTAGAGACATTCTGAAGCAATCTTTCATGGATGTCACTTTCTATCTTTCTTTTCTCAAGTTGAATAGCAGAACTGAAAATTCAGCTTAGAAAAATGCAACCTACAATTGTGAGCTGATAATTTAAAGCAATTATCTTTTTCCAGAAGACACATTTCACCAGAAGCATAAATAGCTTCCTCTTCTAAAGCTCTGCAATGGTCATTGAGTCAGGAAAGAACAGCTGGGCTGGATTAGTACAGCACTGATTGACCATTTCCCCCTCTCTCTGAGATTTCCTCTGGTCTGGAAGGCAGCTCTGCAGCCACTGGCATCCTCCAGCTCCAGAGGAAATAGGTGCTGGATCTGCACTGCATTAGAAAGGCCTCCCTTCCCAGTCTGCCTCTTTTGAGACCCTTCTTTCCCTTTGGTGAACTAAGGCAAGTAGCCAGACTACCATGATGCTGATCAAAATGAACAGGCTCATTCAGCACAGGCAGGGAGCAAGCATGTGTGCAGCCGATGTGAGAAAATGCCTAATGGGTTTAATGACATAAAAAACACAGTCGGTATCTTCATCTTTGAAGTCAACCGTGCATGTAAGTTGTCTAGCACATGACATCTGGCAGGCAACCCCACCACTCTCTCCATAAACTAAAAATGGATTTTTTTGCATTTGATTCATTGAACTAGTGACAATTGTCTACATCAAGTTTTTACAAGTCCTGAAAATGAGTCTGGTGAACGTAGTTGCTTGTAGTAAGAAATATGAAACAACTGCAGACAGCTGACTACTGAAAGCGTTTTTCTTATTGGCACTTTACAAGCTAAAATAAAATTTGTATGCACAGTGCTGCTCTTTGTACTGTGTGTACTGCTACCTCATTTATTCAGGCATTAGGCAGGACATCAGGGGTTGCATTGAAAATTCATCTCTCTGCTACCTTTGTGACGTTTAGTAAACAACTGATTCAACAAACCACACGAACAATATTTTATTATGTAGATGACAGATAACATGCCGTCTTCAAGGCAGTCAGAATATGTAAACAGGAAAGTCACTACCACTATACCTGTAAATAAGACATCTCCACCATCCAAGGTTGCATTTTCATCTACCATCTCTACTATATTGAGGTTAAGACTTTCTAGTACTTTCTTCATGGCTTCAACCTGTTTAAAAGAAAATTGTTTAGAATACGTTCTATCATTGAAAAACTTAAGCTACCAGAAATAGGTATCATTAACAAGAATTAAAGTCCTTTAACACACAAGATGGATGACGGCAGGGTCCTTTGTGTCCCTGCCCATCGCAGTTCCCCAACTCTCTCCAGAGGCCTTTGTGGTCTGGAGGAGATGGGGTGTCTATCGGCAGTGATCGGGCTCTTGCCTTTGCACAGGAACCATGCAGCACGCAGAGGAGACCCAGATGAGGGGTCCAAAACATTTGTTAAGTCCAGACCCTCTGCACAGTAATATTCTCTCTTGCAAATCCTGTTCCTTGGATTTGAGCAGGAAAAATGATCAGCAGGAGTGATCCTTCCAGCTGCTCAAACACAAGATGTGGCTCTACCAGGCATGGGAGCAGCAGCTCTACCCCAGGCCCCTCTTCAGTCGGGGTGGGGGGAACAAATCAGTAAATGTTTGTTTTCTTTATAGTTTTGCAACTTTACTGAGTGCTAGCTCTCCTTGCATTTTTGAACCACCTTGCTACAGAATTACAAGACCTTTCATGTCTCTATGTTGTACGGCTGGCTGCTCCACCACGGAGAGCCGCATGCGTGGCAGGGAGCCTGGGGCGGCCGAGCCCATTTCCT